GTATACTCATAGCTAAATTTTATGTCAAATCTGTTTGCTTGCACTTGTTCTGGAAGGGGGCGTGATATTTATGAAATGTTTTAAGAGGGGCGCAAGGTATAAACGTTTGGGGACCTCTGAACTAAACCATTACACACACCAACATTGGCATTAGCGAATCTAGATGAGTGTTCAAAATCACCACCGTTGGCTTCGTGGCACATTTGACAGTGATGGGCAACTGACTGACATCTTTTTGGGTCACTGTGTATAGTACTACCACCCTGTTAACTTCCATTCTCAACATCTTTCTTATGCAGTTAATATGAGTGACCCATCTAACCTCTCAGAAGATTGTGTACTCTCGGCCAAGCTTGCAGCATAATATCAGCGTCATCGAAGAATTAAGAAGTCTATAATAGTACCTGAAGCACAGCGTGGAGGCTGGGGGGGGCTTTTAAATTGATTGTTCTGTTGATTTAGGCGCTGCAGTTGGAAATGAAACAGACAACGAATTAAAAATAAATAAATAAAACTAACACAAATAAAATTTTCATTTTGCATTTTATTTACTAAAATACAAAACGGTTGACAGTTTCAGAGGACGAACTTGCTTGAGGTATATTGAATCAGTTGTTTCGTTAGTCATTCTTGTGACTGTTTTTTCTGGCGGGACTAATCGATTTTCGACTGATGTTTTGCTGTTCTTGAAAGTGACGTTCCATTCTTACTTCTAGATCCATTATTCTTAGAATCTGAAACATAAATACAAATTATAAGTGCATTTGTAAATACAGGCCACTAATACTGAGACCTATAATGTTCGTAAATTTGCTGCTGATAGTTTTCAGGTTAGAGCCAGTTTAATAAGAGAAATTATTATCGTGAACTACGAGAAACTTAAGAACCTTTTTTCAAATTGTGCATTTATCATACTGTGGAGATGTGGTACAGTTATAATTATTTCCTATTTTATATAAAGAGATAGTATTATGATATTCATGTATCTGCTCGTGCTACTACCTCCAAAGTAACTTCTGAACCAACTGGGCAAGTTTGAATCGAATTTGGTAGGCACATATGCTACGCCAATTTTAATTTCATATCGTTCGTAAGACCAACATGACGTGTGTGTCGAATTGTGAAATGCGATCTGTTCTAGTGGAGTAGAGTAGCATACGAACATTTCGTGTCGAAGAATGTGCAACAAAATGCGAAATTTTGATGAATTTGTTTTTGCATAGTGTAGATCTATTCTGCCTGTAGTGATAAATTCAGGCCAGTCCATAGCTTCCGGCTTATTTGCAGTATATAATAAACATTTAGGTACGGTATTAAACTGTTTACGGTTTATATCATAACACAGTTTCAAATGTACGAAATAGTTATGCAGTGGTTTCGCATAGTGATCGCATTACGAATGAAAAGTTTGACAAGCTGTAGTGTCAGGGGTAGACATAGCTCGCTTTTGCATTATTTGTCACCTGGTAGAAATACCACAGGGGAAACGAAGCGGAGGGAGAAATTAACAACAACGTGTGACAGAATTGTGTGGGCCTGTATAAAGTGTACGTTTCTGCGTATAATTGGTTCGAGGATTCTGAAGATACGTATTGCCTACTCCTACTGCACACGCAGTGTTATAGATGGAGCTGCTACCAGCGACATATAAGAGGTATAATATATATTGTGTGTAGCTGCTTTATAATGGTACAATGTTACGTTTAAATAATGAATGTAGCTACCGAACACCTCGGTACAGTGGTTAATAATCCTTTATATTCGGGAGATCCCAGGTTCAAATTTTATCTCGGAAAAACTATCCTGAGTAGTTTACATCAGTTCCTCTAAGAAACATTTAAGTGCCATAAAATAGGCCACGCATGATTCATTCAAATTCAAACTCCGTAGTTATCGAAACATTCTGCTCTGTGTGACCTCCACAGCTGGAAGTGCACCGTTGAATAATCTCAAGAATAGGAAATAAGTCGGAATACTATTTCTCAGTCCATCTTCGCGTAGGCATTCCATGATCTCTTCCCTCGAGGATTTCCGATCAAAATGTCATATACATTCTTCCATTCCCCTAAGCATGTACCATCCGTTTTAAACGGTTCGAATACTCTAGTCCGTTGCGACTCAGAATTAAAACTAAAAACATGTATTTTAGTTAAGAGACAGGAATAATTTCACAGGGAGTGAGTCGTAGGACCGATGTATTCCACGTGATTGTTTTGCGACCACCTTTATTACGTCCCCGTAAGAGAGTTATGAATAAAGATTTCAGAAATTCTGAAATGAAATCCGAGCTCACCATCGGCCGAATGAACTGGAACTGGAACTGGCGCTGGCACTGGATTGACTTGAGCCAAGTCCTCCGAAACCAGAACTGGAGCTGGATGCCTGACTCTGGCTTTGACTCTGACTGTAGCCACCTCCGACGCCACCGAAGTGGCCTCGGTGTCCGTGTCGTCTGCCATAGCCGCCGCCAAACCCACCGCCGTATCCGCCACCGAATCCACCGTCGCCATATCCAGGGAACGCCATGCGCCTCGCTCGTAAAACGTATACAGGCGTCAGTTCAGAATCTGAAAACAACAACACGAACAGTTATCACTTGAAATTGTTTCCTGTTCTTCTTCATTCTCGGCGCCTATGTTTTTCATGTTTTCTGCTAAATAACTTCCTCTTATCTACTTATTCTTCCTTTTGAATCTTCCCTCCTCGTTCTTCTTCATCGCCCATTCTGTTTATTCTTTGCCCCTTCAAATTATCCTTCTTCAGAGTCGTCTACTATTCATATTATTTCATTTTTATCTTGTGGCATCTTTTCCTATTTAACCTTTCTGGCGCTTTCTTAGCAAAAGTTGTATAATACATGTATTAGCTTGCGATGTCTGTCCGTCCGTCAGCTTGGAATAACTCGAGAACCTCACGAAGACGGGAGACTTGTTGAAGCAAACCACATTGAATACAAGGTTAGAAATGAAATTATAAATGTTTCTTTGACACTTGTCACACAGTCTAAGAAAAATGTGAGAAATTCTAAATTAGTTTTAAAACGAAAATTCTGCCGCATATTTTAACACTTTGTACTAGATGAGAAGGGCTGAAGTTGATCATCGGTTGTACTGGCTTCAGCTTTTCTTACCAACGACCACGGATAACGAACAGTAAGCCTGTTTCGAAGAACTAATTACTTTGTGTCTGAATTTTATCCCCTTTACTTATTAAGCCTTTTATGCGTCTATCCATGAATCCAAAACACTGCGAAGGCCAATTAAATTTCTAGAAAAATGTACTGATTATTATAATGAGGCACTTCTATCATTTTGCTTCCTGTCTCCAATAAAAATGCAAATATTAACATATACAAACCTATAGTTTTGATTGTTGTTTTGTATGGGTTGAGGAAAGAACACAAAATATTTGAGAGGAAAAGATGTTTGAGATGAGGTTGAATAATGACAACCCGCCCCCATAAGTTGTACTATTCACAAAATATAATTAGTATGACACCAGTTAAGCTAATATTGTCGGATCATGTGGCAGGTATGTGGGAGATTGGTAACGCGTACAAAATTTTGGTTGGTATACCTGCAGGGAAGAGACCACTCGAAGACCTGGGTGTAAATAATACGATATTACAGTGGATCTTCGGGAACTAAGGTTGGGGGCTGTATGTTGGATTCTTCTGGTTAAAACTAGGGGCTATTAACACGCTCATGTGAATGTAATAATTAAACTTGAGGCTTCTTAAAGGCGGGATATTTCTTCACTAGTTGAGTGCCCTGTTGCTTTAAGAAGGGCTGTTCTCTATGTAATAAGTGAATTAGGCACTTCTTACCTTGACCCTCCTCTGCAGGGAAGTGTGGCATTGCCACTATAAAGGGCACTGCTATGAGGAAGGCTAATACGATGACACTCTTCATGGTTTTGTGGGTTGTGGCAGGTAGCTGCAGGCTGTGACAAATGACTGACTGCAAAGCAAATTCTTCTCCGGTTTTATACCCCTCTGGAGACGGTTCACCGCCGCCATGCCTTAATGATTTTGGGACTTCCCACCAGGTAGCTGCCAGATTCTACACATCGATACTTTGACGTCGGTTCAGCCCTACTGCCTAATCGCAGATATTATTTCTTTCGTTGCCCTTTCTAGACGTGCATAAAACTAAAGGAGCCTAGAAGATTTCTGTCTTCTGGGTTGTTGAGCTGTGTAGTCTGTACGTTGGTTAATATCGATCAGACTACACAGCGCAACAACCCAGAAGACAGAAATCTACATACTCACCGCTGTGAAAACCTCAAATCATACATAAAGGAGCCTCGTTCCTAGAAAAATGTGTAAGAACCAGAATGCGAACAACGAAGCAAAGTACTTACATTCCTGTCACTGGTAGTATAGGCCTGAAGATTTAAAGCCAAGCACATGCATGCAGCATAACCCTGAGCCAATTTAATCCGCCCCCGCTACTGATAATCATCCTATTATTGCCTTCCGATGCCCTTACGGCCCTTATAAGTGAAAGTTTTGGAGTAAAAAGATGTCTTTGGGTTGTTGCATCGTGTAGTCTAGTAGAAGTTTACATACATTTAGAGGTACTTGCTGCTTCAGTCTTCGGGACCATCACCCGGATGACAGCCACAGTCAATGTTAATGTACAGAGGTTTCGAAAAGGTGGACTATGGACTACGAAGTGCCACGGGTACGCGTTCGTAAATTTTGGTTTATTTAACGACGTTGTCTTAACTGCATATGTACATAACTTCGAATTATCGGATGATTATAAATAATGAATTGGAAGGAATTTGAGAGGAACTTGTAGGTTTATCATTTTTAATATAATATCCGAGCATTTGTCTGGAGGGACTGAAAATATTTCCGATATGCCTCGGTTCAGTCTATCTACGGTAATAGATTTAACCGAGACCTCGAATTTGTAATCAGGGAAATAATTTTTAAAGTCTCCAAAGATTTCTTTTCTCTTTCTTCCTTTCTCTCTGTATCCTTCATCCACTCCCAGATCTGGCTGCTTCGTACCACATTACTTAAAAGATTTTACCATGTAGGTTATCATTACCATATAATTAAATATTTTATATAAATATAACGTCTGCAAGTTATAAGTGTTGGTCTAAATAACGAAGAAGTTCAGATTAGGCACGTTGTGATACGTGTGTGAATCTTGGTGATGGATTGTGCAAATAAGTTGTACTTAAGACGTCACGAGTGTTAACATGTAGCTGCTGAGTGCAAATATCAGAGGAGTCCCCTCTGTTCAATGAAACATGTTGCTGAGACCAACTTTCAAATATTGGCCGTAAGGAAAATTCTAACTTCGTGAATCACTTTTAAAATTAACTCTTTCTTCACATAACTTCGGGATCCACATCCACTTCGTGTTATCGACCGTCAAAAGACACCCCAAACCAACCACTTCATTTAAATTTCGAACACTCAGACAGTAAACAAACTGATTTTCGAGATCGATTCTCGGAAATGGAATTTTTTCACTACTTGGTCCAGAAATGCTTTAAGAACCATCTGGGAAATTGTCGCGAAACTTTTCAGTGCTGATTGCAAGAACAGAAACATTTAAACCAGAACAGACTATTCCGTTTTCCAAATAATATTTCCTGTTTTTATACTCAGAGACATAAACCTTCATTTATTTCAGACAGAAATCTATTACGGCGGATAAAAACAATATTCCATATCCAGTAACTAATTTATAAATAGAGTCATAACAAATTTTCTCACGTAATTCTTTAATTAACTTGTGGATCTCGGTAAGGTCTATATTTTATCATATGCCAGTTTTAATTTGATGAGCCATTTTCAGATAATCGGTAAATTTTTTAGCATAGGAAGAATTGTACTGGATGAGCGGAAATAAAATGTTAATACTTCTGACAACTTTTATTAAATTATTATGACACTCATTACGCTGTAACCACTATTTTAGCGGATAATTTAAATCCCTTCTTTATCTTCGGCGATACAAATTTCGGATTGACACATTCACCTAGCGAATAGTGCGAAAAGGATTCATAACAAGGCCATAATCTGTTTCCGAAGATGATGGTGTGTTTGTGCCGACACACGTGTAAAGGCCTGTACGCACTAGGGCACATGTTGCGATACAAGTTGAGCGACTTGTATCAGGGGACATGAAACACCGATACATCCGTCCACATTTTATGTTAAGATGTCGGAAGAGGAGGTGCTCTTGACCTGTGCATTTAGCTGAACAGAAATCGAAGCGCAAAAAAAAGAGTGTGGGTAAGAAACTTTTTAAAGTGACTTTGTGCCGATACTATGTGCCGCGACATTTGTGCCCTAGTGCATACAGGCCTTAACAAAAGTACATGAACTCACAAAACAGGAAACATACTGACCCACAGATACAACAGATAATAAGATAATACATAATTATTATGACACTTATTACGCTGTAACCACTATTTTAGCGGATGTAAATATTTTAACTTTATAATGCAGGAACATTTTGGTATATTTTATCCAATATTTTACCCAAACAAATAACATGCACAAAGGACCGTGGTTTGCATTAATGCAGTGCAATTTATGTCATTCAATACGTGAACCTAATGATTACTACTTCCGGTCGAAACATGTAAATCGATAACGAATGAAAACTTAAAAAATTTTGGAAAACGAGTTTGTAAAAAGTGACCGTTAACGATTTTAAAGTCAACTTTAAAAAATATTGGAAAACGGGTTTGTAAATAGTGACCGTTAACGATTTTAAAGTCAACAAACGCAGACAGTACACCGGATGTTACACTACAGGTATGTCGGGATTTACTGGGTTTTGAAACTAGGGTTAGGGGAACGAGTTACAGACTTTTCTATCTTTCTCACTCATTAATTGTTCGGTTAAAGATAGATGGGGCATTAACGTTTCTGTGGATGGTGAATACCTGAAGAACTTGAAGAGGACGTCCATGTCCTCTCTTCAGACTGAGAAAAACCACGAAAATATTTTAAAAAGCAGACAGTCAGACCAAGACTGAACCAGATCCACCCTCCCTCCATCACAGAATCTACTACAGAAGCCTGAAGATAGGTTTTCTCCAGATGTTCCTACCACTTCAGGCGGATGTTTGACTCATATCTCGAAACTTGTAACGGACGCTACCTCTCACGTCCTTAGAACGTATTTACTTCTCTCACACGTCTAAATAACGTCGTAATTCAGCATTATCGTAATTATGATGTAAAATTAATTGATGTGTACATAGTGTAGGCTGGAAAAGGTGATGTTTGACAAACGTAAACCAACTCAAGGCTGAATAAAGAAAACACTAAGCAGTAAAGCGAGTGGCGAACCACATTCGAAGCTTACGTCACAGATTCGCCTGATATGGCATTAGTTCTTCAGCACTCGGAACTTTCCTTCGACTTCAGTCTTTCACAGCTCTTATTCCGTACTTCTTCCACTAGAAAACCGAACGATCTTATCGCACTCAAGTAACAAATCGAAATTATAACCATATTCGTATTAAGAGCAGATTTAAATGGGGTTGTTGCCACTGTAGGTTGGTTCCGGACCGTTTGTCTTCTGTTCTGTATTTAAATATGTGCACTGAAGCATAATTTTACCTGTTGTTTTATATGGATTTGAGACTTGGTTTCCAGCTCTGAGGTAAAGACATAAATTTAGGGCTTCAGGTTATAAATACAGGCATACCTCGTTTTATTGCGCTTCGCAGATATTGCGTTTTTTACAAATTGAAGGTTTGTGACAACCCTGCGTCGAGCAAGTCTATCGGCGCCATTTTTTCAACAGCATGTGCTCACTTCGTGTCTCTGTGTCACATTTTGGTAATTCTCGCATTGTTTTTTTAGACATAATGCTATTGCACACTAAACAGACTATAGTATAGTGTAAACATAACTTTTATATGCACTGGAAAACCAAAAATATTCATGTGACTCGCTTTATTTCGGTGGTCTGGAACCGAACCACCAATATATCTGAGGTATGCCTGTATAATGAAAGTGTCGATTGTGGTCGTCTGGATTGTGACAAAGTAAAGTATTGTTGGCGGTTACCCCACAAGGCAACGCGTCCTTCAAGCCCAACACCACAATCGACATAAAATAAAGATGTGTGAGAATAAGATGCTGAGGAGAGTGGACCTAGGGGAAATGAAGTAGCATAGGGCGGTTTGTCACCACTGTTTAATATATTGTAAGCATATACGCAAAAAGTAAGTAGGCCTAATACTACTTTGATCTGTAGCATAGAGATTGAGTGACTTTGTGGTTTATTCCTGTTTAATTTTCCAACAGAATAGTACGATTTGTTTTATAAGATATATTTGGAGTTAAGAACGAGGTCTTTATTTTGCCTTGAACTGCAAAACAATAACACTGTTTCATCACCTCCGATGATTCACATTGATTCTCATGAGGTAATAGTACGTAAACTGATCTAATTCTGTCAAGTAATGAACGGTAATAAGTATGTCCTCCAGAGGAGGGTTTCAAATGTTCATCCTCCATGTCTTCTCTTTTCTTTGAACAGTAAAATAACACCGGAGGCCTTGTTCGGCCCCAAGAACAATTTTCTTGTTTCCAGCGACCGTTGTCACTGGGGACGTCCTCTCGATCTGTAAGACGAAATGTTCATGTGTAAATTAACCCTGAGATAGTGTGAAAGTCAGAGACTGTAACATTAACTACTTCGCTTACCTAACTGTATTCACGCGTCCTCCAAGAGGCTGGAGGGAGAACGAACACTGACACAGCAGCGTAGAGCATTGCAAACCAAAGTAGCAGAGGGCATGCTTGAGTCATATCCCATTCATCTCCGGTTATAATTTCAATCTGATAATCGTCTTATACCGCTTTCCTTTGCCTTTTTCCCACCCCTTAACTCGCTGGAAGTGGTACCCGAAGTTCAATACAGCTGCTAATTCCAAAGAATACATCTAACTGCTTGTCATATTCTCTTCTGACCTTCATAGTTGACAAAGCGTTATTAATCTAACCATGATAGGAACATGAACTTAGCTGATGCGGTAATGTTCTTGACTTGTGTTTGTGAGATACTCGGTTTAAATCGCGGTTAGGCTATCGACTATTTACGCTGAGCCAGAAGAAAGTTAAAATGGGGCGCCGTAGTTATGTCAGTCCATCCACGCGAATTCAGGAAAAGTTCTTTGAACTCTTTATCTTTATTGTTCAAAGGAATTTCCTCATATTCAACGCAAATTAAAATCTCCAATTAATACAACTTCAATAAATCCACGAACCTTTGATATCAGTTTCATTTAATATCATAGAAAATATTATGGGCCTAAAGGTAAAGATCTGAAAGTCAGTTTTCTTCTGCCAAGTCTTGTCACTTTCCGGATTATAAGAAAACGTTTCAGATGTGAGAATTGGAGACATCAATTGTAGTGTTCTCAGTGGCGACAGATTTTCCTCAAACTATGTAGATACACTGTTCTTTAAAGAGTGGTATATATGTCCTCTTGCAAACTTTAGATTTGTGAATGTTCACAGTAGCAGACATGACGTCGCGGCGCGTCGGTTACAGTACCACACACATACAGACAGACGCTTATAAATGTAAGTTACATGTTCAGTAATTAGATTTTCAGGATTGATTTTACTCAGGTCCTTGTGGTGCATACTTAAAGTGCTGAGACGAGTTGAAGGATTAAAGAACAAATAGTTGTTTGAATTAAAAAACAACTTGCCCATTCTTTCTGTACCCCGAAGGTACGAACTGGGGTCTCCCGTATGCAGTAGCATGACTTGTGGCAACAGCGCCTCGCCCTGTGCTGAAGCTGTTTGCAATGGCAGTGACTACTCCAGGGCTGTTGGCATCACCGTCTTCAGGGTCACGATTTCTTCCAACCCCATAACCAGGGTACGCCCCGAACACTATGGGGAAGAACGAGTTGTAATACGGGACTTGGTTCCTCCCCCTTCCCTTCCCCTTGCCGCGGGTAAAGAACAATGGTTCGTCATCCTCTTCCTCTTCTTCGGAGTCGTCAGCCGCGGGACCTGGAGACACAAAAACACTGTCACAAATTGTGTATTCCTTGAACTACTGGTTTCGAAATCACATCATTACACAGTTTCTGAGTCACCAATCGATACACACATAATTCTTTTGTTTACGCCAATATCTGTGAAACCAATAACAGTAATTTGAGTATGGACAATCCAAAGAATCCACATTACAAGTCATTCTTTGTTAGTCTTCATGTAAAGAACATCCAAACATCGATGCGGGTAACCTTGAAAAATCTACGAAGACAGAATGATTGCTCTAATGTAAAGTTCTGGTAAGTATACTGTGATTTTGTACCAAGAGACAAACTGCTGACCCCGTGACATGAGAACTGATTGCATCAGATATAATAACTCTTCATGGTTCGCACAAGAATTATTCATCGCTTGTGACCATCAACCTGTTGACCAAACTTTCCAAAGTGGCCCGCAATCCGATCACAAAAGCTATTAATAATTATGAAGATTTTAAACGGTAAATTGATATTGTTATTGAAATGTAATTTTAGTTGACCATATGCTGATTCCTCGCTGGTATTCCTCAGATACGTTAGGATTTTGAGCAATTAGTGGAAAAGGAACACAGCAGGGCCTGGCACCAATACTGAAAATAAAATTCTTATGTACATTTTATGTTCTCCTTCTTTTAGTACGATTTTTTTATTGCAGTTGAAATTTTTACATGAAACATGTTTTTCTTGCTGTCATTTGACTTGCATACCAAAGTAAACGTCCATCTTTTCCAATTGGTCGTTCTACGATAAAGGTGTTTCATTTATGAATTTGAAATTTCTTTCTCTAGTAATAAATCCGGTCCATTGTACACCACCGCACCTAAAGCATTAATTTAACGTCACCCTCTTTAGTCTGAAATAACCTTGTAATAGGTGTGTTTCAAAATATATGAGAACTTCAATCATTAATCTAGTCTTGGAATCGGGGAAGTTTTTTTATTCAGGGTTTGTATGAGAACTTCAATCATTAATCAAGTCTTGGGATCGGGGAAGTTTTTTTATTCAGGGTTTGCAGAAAGAAATATAAAATTCATGATCGAAATTAAAACTTATAAGACCTTACATCTTACAACTTTAATTTGTATCCTTCATGAAAGTACGTTCTGGCCGCAAATCCTATGCTAAGTTATAAATTCTAAATAATATGATTGTACCTTTCTTGGGACCCTCTGTAGCAGCTGGAAAAGTTGGCGCTGAAGGTGGAACAGATTCTCCCTTTGCAGTTTCTTCAGCGGCCGGCTGATCCCCAAAGTAACCATTTCCGTTGTCATTTGGGTAACCAACGTCGTATCCCCCAACGGGTTTCTGTTCCTCGTTTCCATCAATAGGGTTGTTGCTAGGGGCTGGTGTGTCACTAGGAACTTCATGTTGGTGGAATCCGTTACCATTTATGGAATGTCTGTTTCCGTTTCCGTTAACATGGCCGTTACCTTTCTTCTTATTGCCGTTAGCGTCGTCGGGTTTCTTTGCGCCGTTACAATGCCTGCAATCAGACCCACCTCTGTTGCCATAATAGGCTGAGCCAGTTGATACCGTGTCTCCTGAAGCAAATGCAGTCATGGTACCCTGAGGATCGTACGATCTACCGTTGTGTCTGTCGTAACCTTCATGGGGCGTCGCGGGGTTGCGGTAAGGGTGGCCCCCGTTGCCGAAATATCCGTGGAACATCATCGCTCTGCCAGGATATGCTGACCGTTTCTCCCGTACCATTATAATTGGACTGCTCAAGTAAACCATGTCTGCTGAAATTGAAAATTATACTGGTAAAATTGTGGCAAACACATGCGCTGATTGTCCATTTTGAGCACTGCGTACAATGAAAATAAATTTATGGAAAATACTGTTAACCTTGGTGAAAATATAGGATTTATTTTTAATGATCAGACCGAGCTCCGTTTTAGCTCACGACGTACTGGTAGCCCACCTGAATCATCTTCTTGCGGAAGTGAAAGAGCGCGCGTTGCGATTATGGCGAGAAGTGCAAGGAGGAGACACTTTATCAGCATCGTTGGAAATCTGTAACAAAACCACACGTAGGCGAATAACAAAATTGTTATAAAATGTACTTTTTAAACGATGGTCGATAAGAAGTTGTAGTGCAAAATTTTCTATTACGAGCCAGCGTAATAAGGTCGCAGTAACAGAAACAGTTGAAATAATATATTTTAATTTGACATTTGTAATCAATTAAAAAATTATTGTTGAATTATGCATAATTACATTATGTTTAATGTTTTGTTTTTGAAGGTTTCCAAGGATAGGTATGACTTTTACACATTTGGTGCTGCTCCATGAGATTAGATGATACAAATTAAGTTTCACTTATTGACAGAATCTTCTACGTTTATTATGTAACACATTTTAATATGCGTTGTTAACTGCCTAGAATGTAAGTAAACACTTTGTAAATTATTCGTACTGTATAATATTCCGGTACTGGGTTTGAACGTTTTATTTTAAAAACATTCTAATAAAGTTTCTGATTTGGTTGGAAGCATCAACTAATTTTAGGTATTAAGCAGCTTTCATGAAAGTGATATAAACGTCAAGAAAACAATTCGGTTTCAGTTTGTGATATAAATGTTGTCTTTCTGTAAAATAATAACGATAAAATCTTATCTAAGTTCGCGAATATTGGTTCAGCGTCATAATTCTGAAGCAACTGAGACAATTAAATTTAGTAGAATGTTAATATTGGCTACATTAAGTTTATGGCCAGTGAATAACATGTAAATATCAGTCTGAGATGCAAGTACCAAATATTTTTGTGAATACAATGGAGGCTTGAGAGAAGCTACCAGTCGAGTTCGTTTCTAATTTTATTACTTTTTTCTTGTTATGTCTTTTTTTATTCTGGAACATACAAATACATGAAAATATTATTTAAAACAGAAATCTACCACGGTAAATTTTTTTCACCAGAACCGTAAGGTCTATATTCCTATATTGTTACTTACGATGTTGAGCCGAGAGTAAGCTGACAGACTGAAATCGTGTAGAAGTGCGATGCAAGCCGGTGGAGAGACACTACCGCCTTCTCGAACTGGAGTTTCTTGAGGAATTGCACAAACCTGCACCCGTTTTTATACCGGTCGTTTCCTCTCAAGACTTTGTATCAAACAACCAGCTTTTTGGCATCCGCCCAGAAGGACATCCCAAGAGTCCCGTCCATTTTTATCAGTCATTCAAAGCAAGACACGCTGTAAGCATACGCAGGTATGCTGTGGCGTGTGTGATGTGCCTACATCTAACTGGTACCGGCGTGTGGTATTATAAAAATGGAACCTCCCCTTTTTCATGACTGACTTTTCATGTTAAATCGTCGAATGGATTAAAATGATAATGAATGGACAGTAGCCAAAGACATGAATGTAGGTGTTCGTGGTGTATTTGACCATAGTTTTCGGGCATTACTTTGGAGAGACTGCTAAAAACCACGAAACAGCCAAGATAGCGAGTAACATTACCAAAACTCGAACGGGTATCTACCACCTGGATAGAATCCTAGAGCTTTGTCGCATTGCTAAAAGGATCGAAGTTCTGTTCTGGAGCTGTAAGTTAGTATTTAGTTCATCAAAGGATTAGTCTATGGGTGATTTATAAATCGTTTTCTGTAGCTGTCCAACAGACGCGACGGAGACCTGCATTGGGCCTTACCCATTATATACAGTTCTCAGATCGGTAGGGTGACTCGCCTGGCTAGCGCTTGGAAGGTCGCCAGTTCAAATCCCGACAGAACGTTGATGCTTTATGCTGGAGGTCTGCATGGTCTCGGAACTGGTCCTGGTAGCACAGACGATGTTCGGTTCTGGAATGGTTTAGGGCCTGGTTTAAATGATACGTTATATAGAACATTATTTATTTATTTTGTAAATAAAAAGTTTTTCGTAGTTGCGCTCATCTTACGTTCGTGATACAGTCGATCTCTGAAAACAAATCCCAGCGAAGTGTTTTTGTCTGGGATTCTTGTAGCTGCCTCTTCTCAGAAACAGTTCGGGTTAACACCTTACAAACATTCGCCGTTTCTGTGTTCAGTGTAGCTTAGAAAACAAAAGGCTTTCATTTGTTTCTTCCTATAATTTGAAACTCATTTATTATTTATAAATTTGATCTTATTGATGAGAAACAAAAACTAAATTTAGCTATCAGAAGATGACAAAGATGCCATAGACAATTTAGGCGTTCAGACAAGATATTGTACGGTTGAACGAGATATGTCGTTCATATCATGAGTAGAGTTACATAGGTTACGACCACACATACTTTCCTATTCGTCACACACATGGCCATACGTTTGACGTTACATGTCATCTGTAGTTAATACAGTATCGAAAATGTTCCAATAAGCAAGTATACTTTTTTTTCTGGTTGTAACGTATTCATATCCTATGCCTAGAGCTGTTTTGGCATGTGAATCAATATGCACCTCATCTTTCTTCTGCCTTCTCTGAATTCGAGCCCACAGACGCGTCATCTCTAATAACCCCTAATATTCCCTTTCATTGCCAACTGTGGACATCGCTAGCCCACAAGCATTCAAATCAGAGAAAGAGAGTGAGGAGTGTCGACGCTGGTCTGATTTATAACCGTGTACTTGTAGGTACATACCTACGTTTCGGAGGAAAATACAGTATCCATCTTCATGATAAATAAGGACGGAAAGGGAAGACTACGTATTTATTTGCAATTAAAATATAGTTATTATAAAATCTTCGTTGTACATTTTCTTTATTTGAATTTAGTATGATATAGAACTAAATGCAGAGGAAATCAAATAGTCTATATGTTAATGCCTCGTCGCCAGAATTCAACACAAAATCGTAATATTTATAAATATAACTAATAAACTCGTAAATAATATGGCAACGTTTAAATATTTGGGAAAGACAAGAACACGTCTAAACTGCATCATCGAGAAGTTAAGAGGAAATTTAATTTGGGAAATGCTTCAGAATGTCTTATCTTCCCGTCTGCCTAAATTTAATTTGGGAAATGCTCGTTAGTGTTTACTTCAGAATGTCTTATCTTCCCGTCTGCTGCCTACAGTATACAAAATCACTATCCTACCTGTATAGGCGTGAAAATTTTAATTGTGGTATTTAAGAACAGGGTGCTGTGGAGTGTATTTTTATCTAAGAGACAGAGAGAGGGGTTAGAGACTGGAGGAGAAAATTCCATAATGAGAAGATTCATAATAAAACGTTTTCACCAAATATTATTATGGCGCAAAATTATTAGGGTACAATGGCTAGATTTTGTGATGATGACGATGAACATTCGTGTTGTATAATAAGAAATTCTTTATCGTCTGAATATTAATCGTAACGGAAATATCAGTTCTTGAGTTAACTAACCCTATGATTTGTTAGTTGCTTCGAATATATTCTGTCCAAACATTAACCAAGAAGTTAACACGTCAGTAATTTAAATCGAAATTTATTGATTGATTATTTGGTTGTTTAAAGTAATTACTTAATGGGTCAAATGGCTTGTTGTTTACTGGCTAAAAGCGAATTTTATTAGTGTTTAAGGAATACGAACTCCTGAAGCTTCAACTGTCTTGGCGCAATGTTTTTATCTGTGCATGAATGTTAATATGTTTACATACTTTAGTGCGCTCATAGGTAAAACATTAATTTCTGTAACGATTTATTAGGAATTACGTCTCTATTTTGTAGAAAATATTTATCCCATTTGCGACCTACGGCATGTCAGAATTCTTCGTCGAAGTCGCATACAAAGATTCGGCATACAGAAAATCTTTCCGCTTGGAAGATATATTTTGTTTCAGTTAAAGTGAAATAAATTGAGTCCAAGGTTCTCCTCTTGGAAAAGGTAGCTGTCTTGATTTCTTCTGTTGCACTTACCTTGCACCTTAGAATTTCTGTCGCCTTGCTCAAGTTCAACAGCTGAAACAACTATGACATGGTTTGACTCCAGGTCCCCAGATGTGCAAGTTCTTCGATGAATGCTCTTCATCCTCAGTCCGGTATGACCAATGTTTCCTTCTGACCGTAATACGTTTAATTCACGCTGATCCCGCATTTTGGCTAGTCTCGAAGTAAATTTAATTTACTTTATAACCAGACAGGAGGTATGTAAGATTTGAGGTTTTCACAGCGGTGAGTATGAAGAAGACAGTAATCTTCAGACAGGAGGTAGTTGGCAAACTTTAATTATTGCATTATTATATTATTATTACTGCGTCCTAAGCAGCCCATTCCAGGATTCATCTCATGCTAGTTTAATATTAAGAGTTACAAATAATTGTGTAGTTCAAGTAATAAAGTTTTCAATGTCTTGTTCTGTCAGACTCTCCTTTCTTTAACTGACAATGCGGTCCAAGCCACGTGTCAAATACAGAAACTGGCTTGGAGCTTGACAATCCTGATTTAATAGTACCCGAATGCCGACAATTGATGGGCATTCTTTGATGCCTTCAGAATGTCAGAAATCACGGATGTGTCCCAACGTCTACCTTGAGACCCCCCGGTAATGCGTAAGGCTCACAACCCAATTATTCTCAATCCATCCAACCGGCACGATCCTCAGAACTTAACCAACCTTGCAGTAACCGTCACCAAACTGCATGCTTTAAGGCCGCGAAAGGACTTCGCCTTCCCAAACCGAGCGACGTTAAGTCAACAGTACAGCGTTTACAGCTTTGGTACGGTGCGAGTTCCGAGCTGTCTTCACTAACCTAGGCTCCATTGTTCGTGTTGAAAACATTGTACATTTTTGCTGTGACCTTGATGCTTGCAACTTATTGAAGGATACTGTAGTTTATGTCCGGCAAGTTTTTGAATGTTACATAGTGATATTTATGGATTAGGACTGCTTCGCAATGACCGTTGTTTTTCTCAGTTCCCAAAAGACCATAAAGTTGCACGGTACAAAAAACAAAAGCAATGAAGTTGGATTGTATCAACCACAATTGAATTAAGGAACCACGAAACATAACCATGCCGATCTTTCGACCAAACGATCAGTGGACACCCCATCTAAACCACACAAACCAGTGTTTCTGAATGTTTTGCAATTGGCGGCACAGCTGCCGTGGTCTTCATCACGTCACACCACGACAAAACACGTGTTACGTGTAATTAGTCTATCCTCGAATTGTTCCTCCTCTGTTTTCATTTAAGTAACATCTGTAATGTGCCTTTACTGTTCACAGGATCATTTGACGCTCGTTTGGATGTATTTATTCTTGAAGATTTCTGTCTTCTGGGTTGTTGCTCCGTGTAGTATGGTAGATGTTTACCAACGTTTCAGAGGTCATATTACCTTCGTCATCAGGACGCAACAACCCAGAACACAGAAATCTTCATACTCACCGCTGTGAAAACCTCAAATCATACATTTGTCTTACCTCTCTTCCATCTCACGTGATTGAGTATATAGCGTGAATTTTTAACTTAGTGTCACTTAGGACCATTTTGTTTTCAAGGACGTTATACGAAAGAAATGGAATAGAATAACGAAAAGATCGTAAACTCGCGTAACGATGACTCCGCACCTCGTAATTCAACATTGGAATTTCTTTGTACTAGCTGAATAAGGAACATAGCTGGAAAACCTGTATTCTGCGGAGCATGCGCAGAACGCCGTTTCTTAGACTTTACTTATAGGCGAGACTGAAAAAAGACTAGCATGAAGACACGTAGTGCCATGTGTATACAATCTTGCTATAGTTCTGGCCGCGTAGTGTTGGAAACCTAGGGCTGAATGTTGCAAAATTAAAATTCATAATCTGTGCTCCTCACAAAATATTGCTGTTGTTAAAACAAAGTGTTAAGATGAGTTAGACATGTAGCAGAAATGAGACATGTGCAGTTTTGATCGGCAAACCTCAGATGAAGAGACTCTTTGGGAGACAAAGAGTCTCTTCATTTGAAGAAGAAGAAGAAGAAGAAGAAGAGACTCTTTGGGAGACAAAGGCGTAAATTGGGGTTTGACGTTATAGTGTATCTTAAGAGGAACAGGGTGTGACGGAAGGACTTTCTACATCTGGATGAGGATTCAATGAAATATCAGCTTTTGGTTCCACAAAGACGGGGATATCTTGAGTACTTGGGTAAATGTAGGTTCTCAGGACTTTGCCGCATGGATTTAGTTAAGTTGAAC